TCAGCATGCTCATTTTGGCATCGTTTCACAAAACTGTCCTAAGCACAAGTTCCATGACATCCCATTGAAGCACATGCTAATTATAACGCGTTCCAACAGGATGTCTGAGAACTTATACTTACGACGGTCTTGTGAAACGCTGCCCTCCTTTCAATCCAAAGGGCATTCATACTTTGCTCATAATAAGCTTTTACAGTACCGGTATAGTGTTTTAAATATTGAGTATCGGTAGAGCCGTGCTGTATTTCAAGGCGTCGCCCTCTCTACAAAGGACACATGGCTAAGGATAGCCAGGCTAATAATGATGAGGTTAAGAAAGGGGTATGGTATGGCATTAATAAACATCATCATAATCAAGTGATGCCTTCATGATAAAAGTATCCTGTCAAATTTCTCACTTAAATGTGTCACATATTCATCTGCTATATATTTTGTATACTTGTGGTGATTTTCTTTATCGAAATTTTAGATTATAATCATATACATTTGTACATGTAAATTATAATGCTTTATAAATGAATAGTTTTCATTTTACATCCCCCTGAAAAAATGGAAGAGAATTCAAGAGACAGAATTAAATGTAGCATGAAACTTTAGGACTGAAAGAATAGCTTAACATATAGGCCACATATTAATCTTATGGACTGAAAAGGTCAGTCAATTACTTCAAAAATACCAATTTCACTGATTTTCATACATCCAGCAAATATAATTTTACAGTCAACAAATGAAAATATCTAACACAGGTCCATCACATGGATTAAATTATCATATGACAATCACATTATGGAGTCTAATATTAAAAAGAATGAGAGTGAGCACTGCTGTAGTACGAGTGAGTTAATCAGAAGAAGGCAGATGGATAGTGGTTCCTTGACAAAAATCAAGGTTTCTGCCAAAAAGTAATGAAGCTTGGAGCGCTGGAGTTGACATTGCTAAGACAAAATGTCTGGTGGGCGATGAAGCAATGAAGTATCCCTAGCTCCTAGCGATTGATGATGACTTAACGAGGGGTCGTAGCGAGCTACATGTAGAAGAAGAAACACTTCGCAGATGGGAGGGGCAGCCGTGCCGAGGCCATTACTGCCATGATTTCTTTGTGCGTACAGATTTACAGTAGTGATTGTAGTGTGTGTGCTAACGAGGAGGGTACAATATCAACTGCAAATGACTGAAATTAATCCAGTTTATTACATTTGGGGGAACAAGGAAAAGAAATGAGAACACATTACATGTATGTAAGATTACAGCATTTCATTTTTTTCCTAAACATGTCCATGCAGGAGTGGAGAACTTCTAAGCACTTGTATTACATGTACCGGTATACCAGGTATTGATAATGGGTAGATCTATTAAAATGATCTACCTGTACATGTAGGCCTGCTTAAACATCTTTGCAAGTCTGCAAAATTTGGTGTCTTTGAAGCTGCTCTTTGTGTGATTAGTTAGTTTTCAAGTATTTTATTCGACAGACCCTGCCCTAAATTACCCTTTGGTCAGACTGTAATTAATCATACTTTTGTTTCAAGTGTCAAATATCTCATTAAATGCATTTACACCGTTCGTAGTCCCATATGTACATATTCGTGCTGGTTTTGATTTACATTTTTTTTTTTTTACTCTTTCGCCGCAAAGGCCGCACCCCGACTTTTTGATATTTTCTCTTCCAAAAATACTGCGGCCTTTACGCCGGCAAATACGGTAGACCCCTGCCCCCCCCCCCCCCCACCCCTCCCCTACAGCCAAACTCATGCATGAGAAAGACAATCTTCAGTCTCAATCTAAGAAATTCTTTTTCACATCATGAGAAAATGCCAAGGGCGGCTTGTTTTGAGCAAACGCTGAAAGATGTTGAAGCCCCAAAAGACAGTTCATTCATTCCTGATATGTCATCAGGATGTAACCAAACTCTAGACGCCATGCATTTTCCTTACAGCACGTGTGACCTGAGTTACGGTCATATCACCCTCCTATCCTTATCAACACTCAAACTGAAATAGATCTGTGTACCTACAGTCTATAAGACCCCATTCTCACTCACTCCGTGGAGCAGTCTATGGTAGACCGGTCCACTAGTCTGCTCCAGAGGTTAGGTTCGTTTGTCTTCACACTTAAAGGGCAATTTTTACCCTAGTGTAGACAGGTCCAACAAAGTGACTGAGAATGGGATCTATTAATATAAGATCCCCTCAAAATTTCCCTGGATGTTAGTCTAGTTGATACACACATCCAGCCTCATTTATAAGCTACATGTACACACAGTAATCAATGTCTAAAAAATAAGACAAACTGGTTCCATTCAAGGTCACATTCAAATTAGCAAATCATCTGGCATTGAATTGTAAACACAAGCCTACCGGTATTCAAATCTAAACTTTGGTTTACACTACATGCATATTACAGTCATCAAGGATTGATATATAGAATGGTTTGCTAGTCTAACTCCATGTTGGGATTAGGTCTATGATAAAATCTTATCTACCCATTATCTCAGTATAAGAATGTAAATAGAATTAGTGACCTGTAAACAAATATATTTGCTTTAATCAATAAGGTCCCATTTACACAGCCCAGAAACCATCCTTTTTAAGGGGGACTGCCATTTACACTTTTGAAAAAACCCATAAGAAACCATTGGTGTTTGATAATTCTGTTTTGGGGGGTGAGTTGTGTGTTAGCACGTATTAAGCAAAGAAAGTAGTCACATGACCAAAACCGAAAAGATTCACTGGTGTTTTGGGGGCAAGCATTTACACTGCAAAACCATGCAGTGAAATTTCAGCCAGCGTTTAAAAAACCACACTCAAGAGGTGCAGAGACGAAAAGTTCAGAGATCAGCAATGCGTGACATTTTCATGATTCGGCGCGTGAGCACCCGGGCGAGGGTGTAACACGCATATAAGGTATAGCGTTTTTTCGAAATCTAGCGCGCGTCGTGCGTGAGAGCGTTTCCAGACCCCCGAAATGTGTGACGTCACGCCTAATGCATGACACTTGGTAGCTCTGGAGGTGGGATTTTTTGTCTTGTGTTTTTTGTTGTGTTTATGGGTGGTGGCTGAGCAACTTCTGATGAAACACCGAATGTGAGAAAATCCTATGGTATGTACTCCCAGTGTAAATGCAGGTCTATAGAGAGCCCAGACTGATAATTCAATTACTTCCTGCATTACCTTTAATAGGATCAACACCTTGTTCCCACTGCCAATAGTAGGTCTTTCAGGGATTCAATTTGTCTTGCTTAAAGCCTGTCTGTACTAGTTTAGCCGGGGGGGGGGGGGGGGCGGGATTAGACCACCCTGCAAGGTCACGGACAGGTGGTCATCTCATCAAATCAGCTCTCGATTAACATGAGACACAGGGGATCATGGGGGACCATATGCACTGATTAGGCATTGTTCGCTATATAGAGGGCGCAAGTAGCTATAAGTAGTGCAGTGCAGCTTTAACGTGTTAGTTTGTTTGACAGTATCCTTGCAAATGTTTAAAGATCATCTTTGAACTAACTTTATCAGAAAGCCTACATGTACCCTCATGGGCTGACCAAATGAAATGATACATGTACTGTGTCTCCTTCAATAAATGAGATCAGACGTCCTCGTTAGCATATTCTGCAGCTCAGATTTCTGACCTGCAGTTTGATGACTCTTGTAATTCAGCCAATATCCCTTACGGAGCACAGATATTCAGTATCAGATTTATCTAGAGAAAATATGAGTACATCTATAATGCAGAATGAATATTTAATAATGTTAATTCTTGCTACATGTATTACTACAATGAATCACAGAAACAAAGCCCTTCTCAACGTCTTGTATATTCAGCACTTTCGAGGGAACGGCGCTCTATATCATGAATATTTGTATTTGCTCCGCCGCTACTGCGCATGCGTTCTGTCTCTTTGCCGTGTTGAATCGATGATACAAGATGGATCAATCATCGGGTTAGGACGAAGAATCACCCTTTTTCCCATTGAAGACTTCTTCAACTATAATTTCAAGTGGTTGGAAAGATGCCCAGAGGAGTCCAAAAACATTGTAAGTCAAAATTGTAATTACTACCTCTTTACATTGCAAAAACATGTGAACTGTTATCTATGACATGACCCGGTCGATACATTTCCGGGTCAACATACGAAAACAAAGCCAATGGCCCATCAGATCACGCGTTTGATATTGGGTTTATCTAGAGCTATTGAATAAAAAATTGAATATGGCTGCACGGCAAATCATGTCAAAGTCTTTCTCGGATTAAACATTAATTTAGGATCTAATTACTAATTAGGCAAGCTATCGTAAGTCAAAGTACATATTTCCCTTTTAATTCCTTAAAAAAATAATATATAGGGTCTAGTTTAATTTTACATCCAAAGTGGATTGTGAAGACGTAAAAAGTGGAAAAAAACTTGTTGCACATCTCATTCATCTCGGTCCGACCGAACCGAACCATTCCTTACACATAGTACCCCATAGGGCGTACTTCAGTCTACGTATAGAGGCCGTCAGAGGAGCCAGATGTAATCTCTGCGGAACAACCATCGATATCAGAGACTGAAGCTTTTGGTCTACCCTAGGCCCTAACCTAAAGTGGTGTATTGCCAATACTTATACCATGTACGTATAGGCCTACTGGCAATGTATTAATTTCTAATTCTATTTATTATTTTTGAGGTGATGATGGAGAATTCACAGAGTACAGACTTGAGTTGTAAAGAAAAAAAAAACTTAGAGTAATCTCTAAAACACAATCTTAAGAAAGATATCAGATATTATAATTAACAGTTAGTCCGACTCAAAGCAATTTGAAATGTGGCGCCGCCGTTATTTTTTAAGGACGTATCATCACACACACATAATACACCTGCGCCGCGCCTGTACCTGTACCACTCCCAATGCTACATGCACACACATCATGAAGATCTACGCCCGATCGACCCGGCGGGTACATTCAGCGACCACCGGCCCAATCCTGATGATGATGATAAGGAATAAAAGGGTATTTACCTTCGACTTGTCTCCGTCTCCGACCACTGCAACAGTCAGCATAGAATGATCTATCTCGCCACTAGAAAGGCTCTCAAATTTATTTGGGGTTGTCGACATAGACTTCGGGCTAACTTCGAAAGAAAATGTGTTTCTCAGCTCAGCAGCAGTGTTCAGTTGCTCGGTCGTCAACAGAGCAGCCGAGAGTTGTGATATGATTGATGGATATGGATTGCGGATCAGGAGCGAGTCATATAGCTAGCTAGCCAGATAGTGGATCGCAATAGGCTCAGAACCCAGGCCCAGCCCCCCCCCCCCCCCCCCCCCCCGGGCACGAATCCAGGATTTCTTAGGGGGGCCCAAATTTGAAAATCAATTTGAAATTTAGTGTGCTGAAATTTGAAAATCGTGCCGGCCAATATTTAGTGAGTATACCAGACCCTCGAAAATTTGAAGAACCGCTCCTCCCCCTTGAGCTCAAGTTCAAGTTCGTTTATTTACACTCATCATTAAAAATACAAGAACATATACAATTAAATGAGGAATAATCACACATAAAATATCATACATTCAACAACAACAAAATAACATAACATAATGGGAGTGAAGGGATGAGCTAAAAAGGAGTGTTGTCCTTATGCTAGAGCCCATCCCTCAGTATAATATAAATAAAAGGTAAATTAAATGTTGTACGATTGGAAGCATGACAAAAAGAGGGAAAACAAGGGGGGGGGAAGAGCCTGGTGAGCGCCAGGGGGGGAGGGCCCATCTCCCAAAAAAGTTAAAATTAACGTGTTTTTGCACGTTTTTTCACTCAGGAGGGGGTTGGGGGTGGGGGAGGCGGGCCCCCCGCCCCCTGGATCCGCCACTGCCCCCCCCCATAGAACCTTGCAAGATTTTGAATTTGTTTTTGCATTTCATACTCAACAAAATTGTATAGACCCTAGTTATTGTCACAGTAAAAAAAATAAAAAAAATAATAATACCTCAACAAAACAATTATTAAAGGCGAATTACATCAAAACAAACAGTTATATTGCTAACTTGATCAGAAAGCTATATCAGCAGCAGTATATTATAGACATAGTAGTGGTAGTGAAAGCAGTAGTCATAGTAGCAGAAGTAGTAGTAGTAGTAGTAGTAGTAGTAGTAGCAAAAGTAGTAGTAGGCCTATTAGTAGTAGTAGTAGTAGTAGTAGTAGTAGTAGTAGTAGTAGTAGTAGAAGTAGTAGTAGTAGTAGTAGTAGTAGAAGTAGTAGACTAGTAGTAGTAGTAGTAGTACTACGGTAGTAGTAATTATTACTACTATTATAGTAGTAATACAGGTTTGTAGCATTAGTAGTAGCAGATCAATAATAAGGGGGGGGGGTTAATGTGAATGTTTAAAATATGACATCACTAAATCCAAGAAGTTACTAAATCCATGCGAATTTCAAACTGGCACTTTCAATTGGTCAGTAGATTGTGACATATAGCCATGGGACAACACCCGTTTGTCATGTAAAAAATATCATTCATTTTTGATTATTTTTTTTTTGATTTTTTGATCATTTTTTGTTGTTAATTTTTCTTCTCCCCAAGTCAAAAAATATTACGGAGAGCAAATTATAACAAATCCTCTAAAAGGTAAAGACCCGTCCGTCTTGAATAATAAAGTTTGAAAAATTAACATTTGAAAAATTAACATTTGAAAAATGTTGTGTGTTGTCAGAATAAATTGAAAAGTAGTCGGGCACTTCGTCACTGTGACAGCGATTCAACCGATATGAAGTGCCCGTACGTATACGTGATAACAGTTTTCACAAGTTAATAACTTTCTTAGTTTTCGTCTGATTAACTATCGCCAGTCTGCTTCCTTGTTTTTCTGCTCTCTTTTAGAGTACTAGTAGTTGACTGATAAGGCCAGGGGCATTGCGTTGGTGGTTGGGGTGAGTACGCCCTCTCAGATGAGATGCTATACAGTCAAAACGGTTCGTCTTTACAGTTTTTCGTGCCTTTTTGTTTCTGTCATGTTGTCATTTTGTCATCCCAATGTATGTTTTTTAGTACACTTTATGAACAATGATCATATTATTTATTCTAAATGACTGTATTATATTAATTTTGGTCGGTCTCTTAATAAGGACATGCTTCCTTCTGGCTGCTACCCTCTTTTTATTTGTATTAAAGTCCCACTGTTCTACTTGTAGCTACTTGCTCCCTCTATATAGAAAATTTCCCAATCGGTGCCTTTTGGTCTTCCATGATCCTCTTTTTTTTATTTATTCTTATTTTTCTAGTTGAGAGCTGAGTTAATGAGATAACCACCTGTTAGTGACCTCGCTGTGTGGTATAATCCCTGGCCCAGTAGTGTTGACGGTCTTTAAATATTATCATACATATTACATAATACATATTTTATCCATGTATTTTCAATCGTAATACCTTTTACTAGTTTGTGAAGGTGTTGTGGTTTTCGTGATTTACATTTTTTTTTACAAAGTAAAATAAGTTAAATTTGATTGGATTAATTTGAAATATGCAGTTTCGAATTTACATACCATTTCAATTAAAGTTCGCATTTACTACATGCCGTGAAAATATTGTTGGTGAGATAATCAAAGTAAAGCTGTATACATAACATAAACATGTAAATTTGCAAGAAAATTAATTCGTGGTTTATTTCTATTTTCTAAATCGATAACACTGATTAATAAAGAGTTTGTAAAATGCAGTGTCACGTTTTCACTGGCAGTACGTGAAGATCGTTTGCTTATTCAATTTGTAGAACTTGTGTGCATAATCAAATCAGACACCTTCGTTTAGACAGGTATTTTGTGTGCATTAGTATCACAATTTCTTGCTATTTTAATTTCTAATATCTATTATAGGCTTTTTTGTTTGTATGTTTTATTGTTCCACATTAACAAGAAAATGCATGATAAAACAATGATAGACATGTAACACAGAGTAATATTGTAAAAGGTGGGGAACCTATTAAGACGCAAAGCTTGTATATTATAGGTTCCAGAATGGAATAAAAATATGTTGTAATCGAATTGTCAGTTAAACTGAATTGGTATATAATACCCAGTCCCTGGTGGTGTAATTTCATCTTCAAAGATATAACAGTCTTGATCGTTTGCGGAGGAAAAAATGATCCCCTATTTGCGGACTCCAAGAACATTTTCAACAAAGTAAGGCCCTTTTGCCTTTAAAAATTGGTACATAATGTACTCAAAATGTAACCATATTTTTATGACCCGTTTTTGTGAAATGTCTTGCTCTCTAAAACAAAGCACATAACAAATAAGGTTACAACCCCTGGTTTAATTTGGCATCGTTACATATTCGTTACATATTGATTCTTATATTACCTGCAATCCATCAAGGTAACTATACTCTCGTGTTATGGTAAACAGTGGCGGATCCATGGGGGGGGGGGGGGGGGCGGGGCCCGGGCCCGGGCCCCTGGGAAAAAAATACAGTTAAAAACTCGTTAATTTTACCTTTTTTTTTTTAGAGATGGGCCTCATCCCCTGGCGTTCAAGGGGGGGGGGGGGCGATTTTTCAAATTTTCGAGGGCCAACAAAAATGAAAAGATTAGTGCTCACTACCCCCCCCCCCCCTCTCACTGAGCGAATTATCGGATTTTCAAATTTTCGGGAGCAAAAAAAAAAAAAAAGTGCTCCTTACCCACCCCCCCCCCCCCTCCCGCTTATTCACCGGCTGGCTGTTTCGGAGCTAAATATTCTCTTACGTATTGGGCCCCCTCCCCTGCCGCCGGCTGGATCCGCCCCTGATGGTAAACCTTCTTTGTAAATATTGTTTTCATGTTGAATATAGTTTATCGATTTACGACGATTTCGTTGTATGAAATAAAACAGCAGCTTGTAAATTTGTAATATCTGTCCACTCTGTTATTTAATCCTAATAGATTGACTAATGTAATGCGACATAGACTATGTAATCAAAAAGCTGTTAATTTCAGCACGTTTTCAGTGAAAAATCAACGGGTTGGGCGACAGAGCTTTATTTTACCATGTCACAATTTGGCATACCGCCCTCTCCTAATTTGTATAGTTGAGAAAGTTGAGAAAATCTTTTTTCTATGTAATGTTAGGGGGAGGGAAAAAAAGAGAGGGAAAGAAAGAGAGGGAAAAAAGAGAGGGAAAGGGAAAGAAAAGAAAAAAAGAAAAGGAAAAGAAAAAAAAGAAAAGGAAAAGAAAAGAAAGAAAGGAAAAGAAAGGAAAGAAAAGAGAAGAAAGAAAGAGAAAAAAGAAAAAGATGGAGGAGAGGAAAGAAAGGAAAATAAAGAAAAGAAAGAAAAGAAAAAAAATAGGAAAAAAGAAGAAAAAAGAGTGAAAGGAAAACAAAAGAAACGGTGGTTCAAAGAGAGAAGAGAGAGGGGAGGTAAAAGTCTGATAGAGGAGGAGTGGGAGTAAAAGAGAGAAGGGGGTTGTTGGGTGGAGTCGTCTCGTCGAGGGAGCAAGAAAGACACGGGTAAATATATTGCTGTGTCGGGTCCAGTGGCGGATCCAGGGGGGGCCGGGCCCCTGGGGGAAAAAAAGGAAAACAAAAAAAAGGAAACAAAAAAGAAGGAAAAAAAAAGAAGAAGAAAAAAGAAGGAAAAAAAAAGGAAGAAAAAAAGGAAGAAAAAAAAGAAGGAAAACAAGAAGGAAACAAAAGGGGAAAAAAGAGAGAGAGAGAAGGAAACGAAGGGAAAGAGGAGAGAAAGGAAAAGGAAGAAGAGGAAGAAGAAAAGAAAAGGGGGAAGAAGGAGAACGTGGGGGGGGGGGGCTTCGCCTTCTAGGCTGTTCCCTCCCCCCCCCCCCCCCAATCAAAAAAATAAGAGAGAAGGAATGAAATGGAAAGAAAAAAGGAAAATAGGAGATAAAGGGTAGGAAATTGGGGAAGAAGAAAAGAAAAGAAGGGGGTATTAGTTGCAATTTTCCCGCCAACAAGTTGTGGATCGGGGTGGGGTGGGGCAAAAGGCCCTTGCCTCCCCCAGCCCCCGCTAAAAAAAAGAGAGAAGGAAGGAAAAGGAAAACAGGAGAGCTTAAAGGGACCGAAAAAGAGAAAGAGAAAGAGAGGAAGAGAAAATAAAATGTAATCGTGGTTTATTTCTAATTTCATAACGGTGGTTCACACATAATGCTGAAATGACTCATATTTTCGTAATAGTTTGGGGTTTGGGGTTTAACCCCCCCCCCCCTTGAGTTTTTTAATAAAAAAAATTATTTAAAAAAATTTCCTTGTAGATGACCTAAAAAATATGTCCTCTTACCCCCCCCCCCCCCTCCCCCCGCTTATTCAGCGGCTGGCTGAGTCGTTGCGATTTTTTGGGGACCCCCCCCCAAAAAAAAACAAAAAAAACAGTGTCCTCTTACCACCCCCCCCCCCCGCTAATTCAGCGGCTGGCTGAGTCGTTGCGTTTTTTAGGGGGACCCATAATTTCAAATTTGGGCCCCCCTAAGAAATCCTGGATCCTCGCCTGGTAGGGTCAGCTGTGTCGGTATTCTTGCTCGATCCTCGTGTTCTATATCAATGCAGAAGTTTGAAGTCGGTGAGATGTATATTGTCGGTCGGTCGACAAGGGGGAAACTGAATTCAGATGAATAGGGCTTAATAAGATTCGAAAACGGTACGAGGAATCGTCTTCCTTTCTCTATATTGTGATGAAACGCCAAAAATTCCGTGCTTCGCGCGGAAGGGAAAAACTTCATTTAGACGAGTCGAGAACGGTACGACGAATCGTCTTCTTTCTCTAATATTTTAAGGAAACGTCAAAACTTTAACGCTTCGCTCGAGAGGGGGAAACTGAATTCAGACAAAATTAATAGGGCTTATTTAGAGTCGAAAACGGTACAACGAATCGTGTTCTTTCTCTAATAACTTGAGGAAACGTCAAAGCTTTCGCGCTTCGCGCGAGAGGGGGAAACTGTAATTCAGATGAATTAAAAAAGGGGAAAACTTCATTTAGACGAGTTTAGAACGGTACAACGAATCGTCTTCTTTCTCTAATAATTTAATACAACGTCAAAGCTTCCTTGCAGGGGGAGGGGGAGAAACTGAATTCAGACAAGGATTAAGAGTCAAGAACAGTACACTGAATCGTCTGCTTTTTCTCATAATTTAATGAAACGTCAAAGCTTCCGCGCTTTGCGCGGGAGGGTGGGAGGAACTGAATTCAAAAAGGATAAACAGTCGAGAATGGTACAGCAAATCGTCTTCTTTTTTATAATAATTTAATGGAACGTCAAAGCTTTCGCGCTTTGCGCGGGAGGGGGGGGGGAACTTCATTCAGCCAAGGATTACCAGTCGAAAACGGTACAATTAATCGTCTTCTTTTCCTAATAATTTAAGGAAACGTCTAAGCTTCCGCGCTTCGCGCGGGAGGCCCATCACCCACACCCCCTAATGAACGCGCTTTTAAGTGATTCTCTTGCTCACTACCGCCCCTCCCTAAAATAAGATCCTAGCTCCGCGCCTGCATTGAAATATATAGCTATGATGCTGCCTAAATTGAAGAAATAATTCGTATATTTATGTCGTCGAGAAAAATGATCATTTTGCGCATATGGAAGTACTATAGATAGTCCATAGGAAAAACAAGTTAGCCTTCGGCCTAGGGTTTATAAGGTTGAATTTGTAGATATTGGACATTTAATTTTGTCGGTAATTGGTGGCTAGTTTTGTCGGTAATCGTTGCCCTCTTCACCCCCCCCCCCCCCCACTGAAAAAGGTCTAGCGACGCCCCTGCCCTCATGGGGCCCATATGCGTGGGTTCTGGGTCGGAAGGCCCATCTGGTATACGTCTGGTTTTTGTATGGGCCACGTGGGCTTTAACAACCCCTACAAAACCCAGATGGGCCCCAGATATTTTGCTATCTGGGAAGCTTTTAAATATAACAAATAAATAATTACGTGAAAATAATTATGATAAACAACTGAGTGCTAAAACTTCGAAAATATTAAAATGAAATGACATTGCGTCTGCATAAGCATTCGTTGCATGTGTATACATGCGTAATCAAAATTGGCACTGAGTACTGAGTTCTTCGTGAATCTAAAAAAAGCACTTATATTCACGAAAAAGGCCCGAGTTATATACAGCCAATAGGAAGGACGAATAACTAGGTCAAACAATGTACTCGTACTCTTCTCTTAGACATTTCCACTGGTTAATTTCCGCCACAAGAAACACTTCTAACCAATCAACAAAAAACACCTTGTCACTGTGGTTCGGCATCTTTTCCCATAGACATTAAGTGTAATATGGGGCTTTTTGATTTTTAGTACAGAAGATACGATACAAATTGTGTGGGCAATAGTTTACATGCTTATTCAATATATACTTTCTTTTTCCTCTGGCTCGATACGTCAATCAATGTAAACGATATGGGTATACTATAGAAGTAGAAATTCAAGGTTTTTGTAATTAATGTACATAGGTCTATGGAGAAGGTTTTGCTCGCACTCGCGGATAGACATACGCGCAAAATGCAACAAACTTTACGGTATGTTAATATTTCTTGAACGGGAAAATTAGTTAACATATAATGATCGGTGAGCCGATTATTTTTCATTATCATTTAACAGATGCGACCAAGCTCGGTATTGTACCAAATTGGGCATTTTTGTTGTGAAGCATTTCAAAATTGCTTTTCAGATCATGGAAATGTTTCACCGTCAACTTATCTTAGCGTTAGCTCGTAAAAGACGCGTTGGACGCTTCTCTTTGACAAGCTTCTCTTTGACAGTCCTGGCATTGTCTGCTTGTATTTTATTCGGGATACGATTACAATATTGGAAAAACTTATCCACCGTGAAAGAAAATCCAGTTTCTGAAGCAATCACGGGCACGAGTGATGTCAGGAAATCTGCAAACGTCGATGAGCCCCCTCCGTTTATTATTCTCATGGCCCAATGGCGTTTTGGATCTTCTGCACTTGGAGAGCTTTTTAACCAGAATCTAGAACTCTTCTACATCTTCGAATCACTCTGGCCAACTACGAAATTAATGAAATTAAAGAATGTAACGCAGAACACTCCGGAAAGCAAAGAAATGGCCAGAGATATACTTCGGGGTTTCGCAAAGTGCGATTTCAAAACGGACTATGTTAAGATTTTAAATCATTGGGGTGGTTCACATAGCAAGAACAGAGGACTCTGTATGAACAGTACATCTTGCAGAATGCACTCAGCAAGCGCTCTCGGGGACTTTTGCAAAGAATTTAAAGGTAGACTAGCCACGAAGATCATCCACGCCGATCTAGACCTTCTGAAGCCGCTGGTGGTTGAGGACGGTATCAATCTCAAAATTATCCACCTTGTTCGTGATCCCCGTGGAGCTGCCTCGTCCAGAATAAACTACCTGAACGGCTATTATCCGCGAAATGCGGCTAAAGCACGGCCTTTCTTCCCGAACTTGGGCCGCCTTAAACCGCTTGGTCTTCTTGATGATATCCCAGAGTACATGCTCCCAATTGAAGAGATTAACGATAACAATCCTACAGTTCAAGGGTTGTGCCAGTGGATCAGGGAGAATACGAAGAGATCTTCCGACCCATTGCCTCCATGGTTACAAGGACGATACCATCTTGTTATTTACGAGGACTTCGCCAAAGCCCCTTTGACAGAGGCTAACAAAATTTACAACTTTATCGGGATGCCACTCAAACCAGAACTCAAGAAGTTTGTCCACGGCATGACTCATTCAAACTCCAGCGACACATCTTTATTTTCAACTTCAAAGGATGCGCACAAAACAGCCAATAAGTGGATGAAGTACTTGACAGTTATGGAAGAGAGACAAATCTTAAAGGAGTGCCTGGATGTCCTGCAACTCCTGGGATACGAACCGAATTACACCAAGATACTTCCAGAGAGTTGATGGTTAATTTCACCAGGAAACAGGGTAAAAGATATTGTCCAACAAAGAGCAAACGATCGAAGTTAGGAAAGGAGAATGTAAAATTAAAAATGGGACTTTAAGAACAGATATTGATATTATTTAAGATATTACTTGAGTCCATTTCCTCGCTAGTCTCGCTTTTTACAAATAGATTCTACGAAGCCAATTGCATCTTCACCACGAATTTAGCTTTAAAATTAGCTAGTAGGCAATGAGCAAAGCACCAAAGCTCTGCAGGAATGTAAGTAGGACTTTATACACATAATTATTTTGATATTACTGATATTACATGAGTATTTAAAATCCTTCTGCATCAATTTTTATCTCTTCCAAAATGCATTCTATATAGCGCCTTTACCTTGCAGTGACGAAACGCTGCACAAAATATCTTCACATAATTCTACTGTATGTAGATATTTTTTGCCCTTGATCAGAACTAAAATTCATTGATATGCTTAAAGTAAGAAATATTCCAAATGAACTTATTTGGAACAATAGTAACATTACCTTTAAGGAAAAAAAATTGTTTTATCGAGAATGGCAAGATGCCGGTTTATTGAAAATTCATAATTTGATTACACATGGTATATGGAATGACTCTACATTAATGAATACAAAAGTGAAAGCACAACAGCTTTTATTTGATTTTAAATATAACAAATTAAAGAAACCATTTCTGCAGTGTTGGTTAGACAGATTTAGCTATGTTAATGATTTTGAAGACGAACGTGATATTTCGAATCTTATAGAAATAGAAACAGGGGACAAAGTGAATGTTTTTGTAATGATGAAAGTGAAAGATTACTATAGTTTGTTAATACGCAAAAATTCAAGTGAATCAAATTTCATTTACTTTTAGAATTCCTTTTTAGTTTTGGATAATGACTTTGTTTGGAAGGATATGTTTTCATTTAAATTAAAGCAAATTCGTAATAATAAAGTTAAACAATGTAATTTCAAGATGATTCATAAGGTAATTGCCTCAAAAGAAAACTTATATAAATGGCAAATTGTGAAAAATGATTTATGCAACTCTTGTGGACAAGTTGACTCAATTTTTCACTTTATGTTATATTGCAAAATGTGACTTTGTTTTGGAAAATAATATGTAATTTGATATTTAACACATTCCAAAAAGAAATACAAATAGACCAAAAGATAATAGTTGTAGGTAAGGACATTGGAAAGGGGACACAATGAAGGGGATTTCAAACTCAAGGCAACTACATTTATGCTGCCAAATGTCATCCATGTTAAAAAGAGACATGATTACCATAAGTGTTGTGACATGACGTTTTTATCTTCTCCCCCTCCCCCGAAACAATAGATTTCTCATTATACCACCTGAACACATGCCACTAATTCAAAACGATTTAGGGCATTTTTTTCATCGAAGTTGCCCGAAACTTGCTTGCTACATTCGCTTGCATTTACAGTGTACCTTTCTCATTTAGTAACATTTTTAAAGGTCCTAATTTCTTTCATTATTTGATTGTTGCTTAAAAAGTTGTTTCGGTGAAACATGAAAGTCAGGCGCGGATCCAGGATTTTCTACAAGGGGGGGGGGGGGGGGACGGAAAATTTAAAATCGGGCAGACAGTTATTTCAACTCAACTTACCAATACTGACAAGGTCATATTAAAAGCACCGTACCGGTACATACAAGCGGGCACATTTTTGGAAAGGGGCAAGCTCAAGTCACGTCTCTTGTCCGATATCAACATCCCCCGAGTTTAAGTAATCTTTAACATTTCCATCAGGGGGGAGGGGGGCTGAATCCACTTGCCAAAATATCAATTCTCTGGGTTCACAATTTCGCGAGCGAGCGAAGCAAGCGAGCGAAAAATTGAGCATAATTATGTATGTTGTGAAAGTGTTATTTATCACTAAAATGTACGAGATAAGACATAAAAAATGCATATTCGGTCAGCTCGTAATTTTTAAATTTGCGGGTAAAGAGAGGCTGTAAGTCTTAAGAAATGAAATTTGAATCCTTGTGGAGTAAATAAAGAAACAGCTCTAGCCATAACCATGATTACAATGACAATTTCCATTTTTGGGGAAATCGAGAACAATTAAACTCTTGTGGTGCTATACAGTGCGTCCCAGAAAAAACAAAACCGAGAATTATCGATGTTTTATCATAACTTAATCACAATTATAATTAACAAATGACACATTATCGTCCCTATTTTCACGAAGTGACGGATGAGCGCGCAATTAAAAGAAAGTTAGTTTTGAATAAATCGCTTTCAAACTTTCAAACTATAATCTCAACCTCTTTAATGTATCAAGGGCAAATAAATGCTATATCCTGGGATAGAACATATCTCAATGTTTAGTTCTATGTTTAATTATTTCCATAATTTTTTATATTTTGGGGGGAAATGAGCTTTAAACATAACCGTCATTTCGTGGAAACACGAAATTCAAGGACGCGCTGTAATTTTGTTTTCACGAAGTGACGGCTCATGGCCGCGCGCGTAAAACATACGGGATTTTTTTCCTCGTGGATGGAATTCTCGAAATGGACACTAAATACGGCAAAACGTTATGTTTAATTGATGTACAGATAAAATAACTCGAACTACGAGATAGAGTACATTTTCCTCTTTCTGTAGCTGCTTTTTTATTCCTCTGTTTGAACTTTTAACACAACCGTCATTTCGTGAAAACACAAATTATATAGAACGCTTTGAATTTGTTTTCACGAAGTGACGGCTCGTAGCCGCGCGCGTATAAAACATATGGGATTTTTATTGTGTGAAACAATAATCATGATACTCAACAATGGGAGTAATGTAGTACGTATCAGGACAATTACCCCCTGGGCAATCACCCCCCGGAAAATTACCCCCCGGAAAACTACTCCCCAAGGACAATTACCCCCTGGAAATTTACCCCCCAGAGAATTACCCCCCGAGGACAATATTACCCCCCAAGGACAATTACCCCCCGGAAAATTACCCCCCGGAGAATTACCCCCCGAGGACAATTACCCCCAAGGACAATTACCCCCGGAAAATTACCCCCCGGAGAATAACCCCCCGAGGACAACTACCCCCGAGGACAATTACCCCCCGAGGACAATTACCCCCCGAGGACAATTACCTCCGAGGACAACTACCCTCGAGGACAATTACCACCCGAGGACAACTACCCCCCGAGGACAATTACCCCCCCCCCCCCCCTCGAAACACCATTACCGCGGCCCGAGGACAATCACACCCAGGGAATTTGTAACACTGTGACGTATAATGCGAGCTCCTCTTCAAATTGCTATTTAGAGAAAATGTCATGAACTTTCATTTTCTTAGTTATTTATGACGGAATAGATTTGTTTCGTACAGGGGTTGTGTATAAATTATATTTATATTCGTAGCTCACATTCAAAGCCCTCGTACCCATCTGCCAAATCTTTTTGCTTGACGTACATGTATCCTCCTAGGAGGAGATTTCACCCACCCCTCTCGCTCTGTAGCCATTCCACCTTTGTGAAGTTTGACTTAATATGCCACGTGTATTGAATCAAATTCAATTGCCAGAAGACGCATGTATCAAATCAAAGTACGGAATTTACATTTCTTAGAAATTTAACAATACATTGCGCGCAGATGAGTACGCGTTAATACAGCTAGTCTCCCCAAAAATGGCCCAACAAAGAAATTAGGATGTAAGATATTATACAAATATTGACTGCTCATGAGGATGATGGTGGGAACTATCACTCCCAAGGTGGTGTTTACACCGGCCCTTCTATCACCCCCGAGGCGAAAGCCGAGGGGGTGATAGAAGGGCCGGTGTGAACACCACCGAGGGAGTGGTAGTTCCCACCATCATCCGATTACAGAGCAGTCCATATTTGTTTTATATACCTCATCCTTTTTATTGATTCATGATTAGGGTAGCTGTAGGTCTAGATCTAGCTCTAAAAACAGGAAACGAGATCAAGAGGAATTTACTAATAAGAAAAATCCAACATCAAGTCCAAGGCAAGAGTATTGATTTCCTACGCGCTGCGCGTAACCGCGCGATTGCGGTAGCCTAGCAACTCAAAAAATTTGTGTGCGCAACTAAGTCGCGGGAGGGGTTAGGGGTCCTATCCCAGGGTTTGATAGTAGCTATCAACCCCTCTGACGTAATGATACTTGATAGATCGAAATGCTCCTTGACATGTGATATAGTCTTGACCAATCAGTGAATGACAATCTATGTATGAGGTATATAACATTATTTATGCATCCTCTGTAATTTTTCTAATCAGCTGATCGTATATTTGTCTTCGTATGTATAATGGGCCCTCATCCATGATCTATTCCTAAATTAAGGTTCTCTTCATGTTTATAAATGTTATGTAATATATATATATATTTATGTTGTCATGGTGAAATAAAATATGTTTTCTTGTACTGTAATTTATTTTGAAATAAAAATTGCCTTCAAGTTAAATATATGGTATGTACGGTGCCATATTAAAAGAAAATAAGTATCCGCACTTGGGTACATTCATCTCAATGATTTTGTAATTCCAGAGCAGCGTTTTTTCAACTGGGGTGTCGCAAGAGAATGTTAGTTACATGACAATTTTTGTTGGCAAACGTTGATTTTGTGAAAAACAAATATCAGAAACGGGTAGAGTATATATTTTCATGAGAAAATAAAATGTAAACAAATAATAAAATGTCTTTCTTCCTCGCTCGCTGACAATATTTTGCGAATATATATCTTTTATTTCGACATTACATTGTTACCACACTCATCACAATTATAAACATGATGAATCAAGGCAACGAGAGTGTATCAAGGTCATGACCGAATATTTCACTTTATATTCGTGTACATTCGGGGGTGAGGCGCCCGCATACCTTAAATCTGTGCTAGTGTGTTGATTACAACATTATGTTTTACCATTTTGAAAATGTCTTGTCCTTGTTTTTCTTGCTCGTTCACTAAATCAAGAAACAAAATTAATGTGCCCA